GCTATTGGTATTACACTCATACCACTCTCACTCTGAACCATACGACCTTACGAGCTTTGGGTATCATACTCATACCACTCTCACTCTGAGTCGTACAATCTTACGAGCTTTAGGTCTCATATCCGTACGAGTCACAGTCTAGACTATATAACCTTACGAGCTCTGGGTATATAACCACCACTTACACTCTAGGTTGTATAACCTTACGAGCTCTCGGTACCAGAGAAACTATTCATTCCCTAACGAGTTGTCCAAGACCAAACCGTCCTCCGAGCAATCATGTCTAACTGTCTAAAAGCATCTCCAACCGAAACGACCATATGTGGTTCGCATGCAACATTGCTTACCACCCATATTCCCACTTCGGAATATTGTTTTAACCATGACCACTCCCTCAGGTCATCTGAAACATCCCTGTCACGCAAGGTGTTTCACATATTCTTTTCCCGAGTATAATTCAAGTTTATTTCCCTTAAATTTTTCATGACATCACAAGTCATCAACCCATAGAAAATACTCAACAAAAAGCAAACCAAATCAGAAGACTAATCCTAGAAATTACCTTCGAATGATTTCTCGGTGAAGTTGCAAGAGGAGACGGAGTTATACGGAGTCGTCGGAGCTTGAAAGCGTCGTCGGAGCCGTCGGAGCCTGAAAACGTCGTCAGAGCCGTCGGAGACTGGAATCGTCTTCGGAGCTCAGTTTCAAAATTATTTTGTGTTGCGGCGTCGAGAGAAACGCGAGAGGGAGAGAGAGAGTGAACATTAGGCTCGTTTAGGTATATATACTGGGCTTAGATTAGGGTTAGGGGAATTAATTTCGTGTTTGTTCGGTTATCCAAATTAATTTCGGTTGGGGTATGAACCGATCCGAAACCAAAATTAAAATCATATACAAACCGATCGGATAGTAGAGCATAACCGTATCCGATCCTAGTCGTTTTTTTCGGATCGGTTTCGGATCGGATTTTGGTTTTCGGATTCTAAGCCTAGGCCTACTCGTAATGTTAATTTAACATTCTGTTAATGCATGTCTTTCAACTGACTGGCGCAAAAGGGTAAAATTGGTTACCTTTTAGTCTGGGGTAAAATTTTAGATTGAGAACTTAATGTTAATTTAACGTTCTGTTAATGTCATCAACTGTCAATTTGGATTGCACAAAATTTTTATGTATTTTTAAAGATACTAGATAAAATTAGAAAGTATAGTTTTATGGATTTTTTCTTAAAAAGGTTTTTTTTTTTAATGTAATTAGTTTGTCATTGTGTGTAAGTTGTGGTTGGGTTGTTTTTCTTTTTTTATTTTAAATATTATTTTAAGGTTTTTTGAAGAAATAAAAAAAAAACTCTCCAAATTTCATTTTATATAAGTTTACCTTCAATTTGCAAAAATGTAGTTAAAAAAATGTCCAATTTAACCCGCAATAGAACTCTTTGTCACCTCTTTTAAGTTTTTAAAATTATTATAATTAATAGATTAAATCGATGTCTTCGTGACGATGAGTTTCCTTAGAATATAAAAACTCTAATGTATATATCTATAAAAACTATTTAAAAATATTTATAAAGGTTATATTATGAATTAAATTTGAATTCATAGATTTGACCTGCATTTTTTTCAAACTAAGGGTAAACAATTGCAATAAAATATCATTTGAAGAGTTTTTTTTTTTTTTTTGCAGCAAATCTTTAAGTACAATAACAAAACTCTATTAACGACATCAAGTGTTTTGGTAGTGATAACATCTTTTCTTTTTTGAATGCAATGTTAAATTATATTCAAAAGAAAAAATGTACGGTTTTACAACTTGTGCATCGTTTGGTTGAAATAAAAGATTGGATCAAAATTTGAAACTAGTTTGAATATCTAGACCTCCCGTTGAAGCTTAGCTGCGAGCTTGAAGCCAGAGTTGGTACGCGTCGTCATACCTTCTGTCTCCCATAAGTCGGACTGCTGAGATTTGATTCCTTACATGTTTGTCAATCCACCCCGTGATGCGTTCAGCTGTTTGTGGGTTCTCTCCATGTCGCCGCCCATTCCTTTCTCTCCATATGGTATAGGTAACTGCTTGAAATACATATCGAAAGAGGAAGCCCTCTACTCGGTTGAGCTGTTTGGAAGATATAATGTCAATAAGAAGAAGCCAATCTGTTGTGTATCGAGTTTTGAGAAGCCCCTTTGCAAGAGCTGCCCAAATGGTAGAGCTGAAATCACAACCAAAAAAGAGATGATTCCGGGTGTCTAAACATCTTTGACAAAGAACACATGTTCCTGCTCCGCCTTGCCATTTGATCATACGATCGCCAGTAGAGAGCCTGTTTTGAGCTGCTAACCACACACAAAAGGAGAATTTTGGTGTTGCGTGTGCAAACCAAACTCCTCGGTGCCATGAGACCGTGCTAGAGGTTATTCGGATATGATTCCAAGTATCTTTAGCTGAGAACTTCGGTTTAAAGATATCATTTTTCCCCCTCCATAGAACAGTGTCCCCTTGTATTTAATATATTTAGGATCAATTACTACCCAATTGCATATAGTTTGGTTTGACTAGCACCTGGTTTGACTAGCAAACCATGAAACTATGTCATTTTTGTTATCTTAGTCTTGTGTGTCTCAACTACACATTTTATTCTCTTTTATCCGAGTTCGAATCGGGACTTTTGGTGTCATATAAAGACTGACTAGGTCATCAACTTTAGTCCTCTTTTATTAATTAATAAATATGAGTTCATGTATGTGAACAATGCAAAATGTTTATAGAAATGCTAGGCACATGTTTTTTATTTTTTGGAGCGGTATGTGCTAACACATTCTTTTGTACGGTATGTGTTCGACGCATTCATCTTTATATTCTTGACTAACAATTTGGAAAATCCAACTTGATTAAAGACATGTTGGATTAAAGACATCTTTATATTCGTTTTATGTGTTTTTTTTTTATCACTTTTATGCACATGATTACTTTAAGTTGTTCCAAAAAAAAAATGCACATGATTACTTTGTAAAACATAATATATACGATTTTTAATTATTTGCTTAATTAATTACTCTTTTCCTTTTCCTACAATAATTGTTAAAATGAATCAACGTATAGAATAAGTTTATGACCACATGTGAATACATAAACATATATACAAACCTACGTGAATGGCTAGATCACTATGTCTAACTTCAGCAGAGGACACTAATTTAAGTATATAACAATATTACAATAGAGAGAGCAAGATTAAATGTATTTAAAATGTGAAAAAAACAATTATGTATTAGAAACACGTGCTAGTTTAAGTTTTTTTAGGGCTTGATTGGTCGGTTGCGGTTGTTAGCGGTTGGTACCAATCATAGAAACCGCTCTATACCACTTCGAACTGCTCCAAATCGCTGGATTTCAAAAGCTCCTTCCCGCAAGCGTTTGTGGTTGTGGAACGGTTGCGGGCGGTAGCGGTTGGATTAAAAAATAATAATAATAAAGAAAACATTTATAATTATTATAATATATATTAATCCTATATATATCTTTCATCTTTGTATCACGTTCTCATCAAAAAACCCTAATCAATAATCTGAAACCCTATTCTCTCAATTATGTCTTCCATGCACCCAAACTGCTGAAAATCAAGAAACAAACGTAAGTATCATATATCCTTTTATTCATTCATCATCTCATGTGTAAATCTTTAAATATTTTTCATGGCATCGTTTTTTTCTTTTCATTATGTATTGTTTTGCTTTTTGATTGAATATATGTTTCGATTTCCTTTCTCAAATAGAAACTCACTTGGTCAGATGAGATGACTCGTTTCTTGTTAGAATTGATAACACTGAAGAACGAATGGCTCTTGTTGTCAAATATGTGAGGGCAGTACCTGATCTAGTTCCAATGACGGAGCTTTATTGGGCATCTCTTGACCTTATTGCTACAAATGATGTTGTACGCAGTTTATTTCTTGCTCTCCTAGATGATGAGAAGCTACCTTTTCTGAAGAGACAAACCAAAGAGTCTCGTAATGATTTTTTGGATGATTAGCTTTGGTTTTGTTGACTTGATATTCTTATGGAATTTGACAATTTGTGCTTTCTTGTTTATTAATATTTCTTATTTATTTTGGTCATTTTTTTATTTAACTGTTACCGCACCCGCTGGTTTACCAGTCATAAAACTTCTGCAAACGCATCCATTTTCAAACGCTAAACCAGTCGTTCAAAACGCTTGGTAACGCTTGAAGCCGCAACCGCCCGCTTCCGCAAACTCCCGCAACCGCAACCGCTGCGTTTAAACCAGTCAGCCCTTAGTCTTTGAAACCTAGTTGCCGAAAGAAAATAGATGCTTTTAAACCACTTTGTACATAATCATTCAACAAATAACAAAGTCTTATTCAAATAGTACGTAATTTATATTATATATAAATTGTGAAACTAATAATTCAATTAGGTTGTAATCATTTTAACAAAATTGTAAGTTTGTACCTAAGTTGATGTTTTATGTTAAAATAAGTCATTTGTGATATTTACGTTTCTGTCACTAAATTACTCTTTTTAAAAATATATTTCGATTTATTTTTAGTTAAGTTTTAAAATAAACAAAACTAAAATTAAACTTCGATTAAAAATAGTTCTATATAGCCTGCCTAAACAGTTATATTTGTATAAGTGAATCTTTAAGAACATATTTCGAAATTTAAAATCCAAACCTTCTATGTTTTTATTTTTGGCGTTATCCAACTTAAATTTATGATTAGTTCGATTAAAATTTAACATAGTACTTATATACGATTCAATAAACTACTATATTTTTAAAATAAAACATATATTGATTAACTGTGTATTACAAAATATGCAATTTTTTTCACTGTGACAAGAGATTGTAACTGTGTAGATGAAACGAAAAAACAAAAGGAAGGAGATATTAGAGACAGAATCTACACTCACACATACACGACAACGGCTATTCGATATTATCGACGTATGACCATTAGTACTTTGATAATTTATAAAATTCTTTCATAGGTAAACATAATTTATGGATCCAAGGTTAATAGTTATATAGATTTTAAATAAGCAACGTAAAAGAAACAAGGAAGTAAGGAGAAAAGATAACATCTTGAGAACATTGATAATTTATTTATTATTAAAGAAAAACATTTCCTCACATTGAACTAGCAAATTCAATAGCATCTTCTACCACATCCATGATTCTCGGTTTCGAATTCACCACTCTACAATTCAATCTTATTTCTCCTTGCTTCCCTGTTAAAGGTGAAAGACTACTCATCCTTATCATTGCCTTCGCGAATGCATCGAAAAATTTCCCTTGACCATCAGCGTATTGTCGGACTAAAGGGAGAGTGTCTGAAGCATCAGGGCTAGAGAATAACTCTTGGTCGCTCTGGATAAGACCTTTTTTCTCTTTGAGATTCACATAGTATTTGTTGTCAAAGAGTGTTGGCGTACGTAAATCAAAATCTACCAAGACACTCTGGTTTCCGTTACGCGGACATTGTTTTCTGAGTGTGGTGAGATAAGATTTATCAAGGGTTGGGTCGGGTAAACCGGTATTACTGAAGTTGTAAAGCCGATCCATTATGAACCGACATTGGTTTTTGCCAAAAGTGTGACCACCTAACCAAAGAAAAATATCAAAAGTATAAATAAACTAGACCAATAATTTATCATATAGAGTTATTAGTTATTACAACTATATGTGAAAATGTTTCCAATGATAATGTACCGGAAAGAGCAACGAGATCAGAAGGACGGTCGAGTCCGACATTTTTGAATCTATCCTTAAGTACTTTAAGGGTAGAGGATGGACCTGGAAGGTTATTATTAGCAAGATCCATAAACCCTCTTAAGCTGTCTCTTCTTCCATTTGGAACCCTCCATGAAGGACCTCCCGCCTAGAGTAAACAATTATATTTGGTCTAAATATCTTATCCTCCTTAAAAATTTAACAAAATTGTCTAGAAACCATTTGGATAGCATAGTAAAAGATGCATACCAAAACAACAGATTCTTGAGCTGCGATGGCGAGCAAATCAGCACATGAAACAGTTCTAGGACATGCTTTCTCTACGGCAGCCTTCATTTTGTCGATCACATCGAAACCCCGAGCTGAATTAGCGTTCCCAAAGGCGTCTTTCTCGGTCCTAAATGATGTGGTGTTGTCTAACAATATCGATGCATCACATCCCTTTTTCAAAACAAAATATTTTTCTTCACATTGTTAGATAAAAAAAATCTTAACATCCGTAAACAGTTGATCTTAGTCTCTTTCAATTTTTATATAAACAAGTTATATATACTACTATTTTTTTTTCTCCTTTTACTGCAAGAAAAATAGTAAATCTAGTATCAAACTATCGATCGCATAAACTTATTTACGTGAATCCGAAGACAGCATTAATTCGCCATCTAGTAGTTTATTATATATACCCGTATAGCTCTTTAGGATAAACTATAGGGAACCAAAAGAGTTAACATATACATGAATATATTGAATCTAATGGTATCTTACATTAACAAAGCAGTCATGGAAATGAAGACGAAGGATGCTTGCAGCGATGCGAGGGTCTGATCTCAGCGCATCGACAATGGTTTTGGTTGCAATGTCAAAGACTTGCGGACATGTTTTATCGTAAAAGGAAGGGCTTAGTTGAGCATGAGACAATGAGACCTGAAGAAGAAGAAAAAGAAATCCCAATTTTATCAAAGAGGAATGCATTTTAAGAGAATTATTTGGTTATGGTTTAATTTGAGTGAATGTAAGTTTGTATTAACGAGTCCTTTTATAGGCAAAAGGTTCTAGCTTGGCGGCTTTTACTTTTGTGGATTATTTGACATACTTTTATTCAAGTAGTGTATTCGTGAATAGTATATTACATATTGAATGTTATACTTTGAATAAGACATTGTTAATTAGTTTGTTGAATGACTCTGTACAAAGTAGTTTTGAAAGCATCTGTTTTCTTTCGGCTACTAGGTATTCTAATTCAGAATCTCTTTTTTCACACTTTAAATGCATTTAAACTCATTTTCTCTTTTGCTATAGATCAGTGTTTTCTCTAGAAGTTAGACGTTATGATCTAGCCATTCACATAAGGTTATGTATCCAAGTTAATAAAGTTATTGTACGTTCATTCTTTTCTTTTTCCCCAATATTCAACTTTTTTCCTTTTTTTTTCTTTTTGTGATAATGGCTATACCAATACTGTACCATTCATTTTAAACAGTAACTAGGTAAGAACCCGTGCCATCTACGGTAAATCTTATGTTATTTAATTTTATAAGAAAATAATTTAAAAAATTCAAAAATTTTATATTGAATCCTGAAATGTCTGTAAACAATATCCCCCAGAATTGGCTTGTATAAACTAATCTAATAAAGTTGTTGACAAAAAAAAAAAAAAAAAAAACTTAGATGTCAAAACAAAATTTTGTAAATGCGGTAAAATATTTAATATCATGGCTTCAACTTGTTAAATATCATACAATAACACAGCCTTGTAGTCTATAAATACTTAGAAATTAAATTTCATATATTTTGTTGATTTATATATACAAATATAATTATCCTTACGTCATTTATAAATTTAGACTTATAGATTTGCGGTTTTAATTTAAATTTATGTAATATACAAACAATTTGTTGATGTAAAAATGCATATACTACGTATATGTTTATATTGTTTAATTTTCATTAAGAAACACAATGTAGTTAATATATATATATATAGAAGTTTTCTTATTTCAAAAATTCAAGTATTTAATTTAGGTAAGATTAATTAATAAGAATAAGTAGTATATGAAATTAAAAGTGTTTGGCAAGATGGATAGTAGAATTTAATAAATAAAAAATAAAAAAGATGAGAATAATTGTGGGCTTGACATAAGCACCAAAAAGTCTCTTTTAATATATAGAGGATTGTAGAAAATAATGAAAAAATGGTATTCTGTCCAAAAAAGAGGAAATAGATTGTAGAAGATAAAAAAAAAACAGTTAATAAACTTATAAAATCATGTATTGTATATTAAAAAGTTATCATGTAACACACGATGAACATTTGATTTTGATTTATAGTTAAACTGAAAATATATAGATTTTAAAGGTTAAGGTTTTGATCCGCGTTAGAAAATATCTGTTCTCCAAAAGACAACTAATTTATGCAGTCTAGACCCGTCTTGGAGACATATACGAGTTCTGAACATCCTAACTATAAAAAATGTAATCATGTGTCTGAGAGTGATAAAACACATAGAAAGAAGCAAATTGCATGTCTTTACCTAAGTTGGATTATCAATCATATTGGGGGGTTATTACGAGAATGAGCATTTATTAGGTCAAAAGTTTGATTTTAGGTTTTTCTATCGCTACTTGCATATTTAGGTATTTTTGGATTTAGTTAAATGACGTTTTTGCCCCTACTGAATTAAACGGAATTTGGGAAAAATTAAAAAATTTGACAATCAGACCATCGGACTTCTCCGGTGGAATTAAAGAGAAAAGCGTCTTGGACACCTACAGTCGCTGGGCTGAGCCGCCGGAGAATCCGCCTCCAACCGCCGCATGCTTCCTCCTTCCAGATCTATCCCACCGTCTCGCTATTAACCCTATGGCAACTTCGATTTTTACTTTCACGACACACAGTCCACCGCCCGTCGATGTGGAGTGGAAGCCATTGGGTTTGCGGAGGTCTTGGGTTGCTCACTTTGTGGCGGATCTGTTGCCGATTGAAGACGACGGCACGATCTGCTCTCCGATTCGCCGCCAACATCATCTCCGATCCGAAACACAAAACCTCTCCTCCGCCAACACCATCTCCAATGAGTTGGATTCAACTAATTCCTTTTGAATAAAGAAAAATAAACCCTAAAGGGGATAGTATCCACTAAACCCAAGGGCTCCAATTGAAATAATTTTCAAAATTAGGATTTGGGTTTCCATGATCTTCACGTTGGTAAGTGAAGGAGAAAGCTTAAAGTTTTTGTCGTTCACAGAAAAAAAAAACAATTATTTTTGCTTCAGTTGGTGGCAAGGGTAAAAACGATTTTTCCAATGTTTGAAGAATGCTTAAAACAGAAGTATGGACAAATAAACCCAAACTGATAAGTTTGACTGAAAAAAGTACCGATCCGGTAATTAACTCATTATATTGGTTTTAGTCAAGAATATAAAGATGAATGTGTCTAACACATACCAATACAAATAAACGTGCTCGCAATACATTTTTTTACTCGTTTTCTAAAAGCTTTTTACATTTTCCACATAAACTCATATATATATTAATTATTAAAAGACTAGTAAAGTTGAAGACCTAGTGGCAAGTCCTGCATATGACCCAAAAAAGTCCTAGATTCGAATAAGAAAAAGAAAAAAAAAAAGAAAAGACAAAGGAGTGGTTGAGAGACTCACAAGAGAGGCTGCTGTAATTCGTCAAACCAAGGGGGCTGCTGTAATATATGTGAGATTCGGTACGTAGTAGTTGAATCATAAATTCATAGATATATTAATTAATTGAAAATACTTACAAGATACTTTCACTACAAAAACACTATGTCTTAAACTAAAGAGAAGAAAAATGAACACTTGATGTCGTTTTTTTCTTTGTTTTGGTAAATCATTATGTTAATAAAGTGTTTAAGGTTATTCTGATTAAACTAATTAGAATAATCTAACTGATACCATATTACAGTGTGCATTTTTTTTACGAATTCTCAACTATTTTTAACATAGGTGTGTAATACATGCATGCTTGACAAACAAAAAAACCCAACTACAACATATAAACAATGAAAATAGGATTCCATTATCGAAAAGAAAAATCCATAAAATTGTACTAACTATACTATTCTTATCTATTATCTTTTTAAAAAATTGCGCTTTCAAAATAATATGCCAAACAGTTGAAAGACATTAACAAAACGTTAAATCACAAAAAGATCTCAATTTAAATTTATACTAAACTAAAATTTAACCACATATGTCATTAAGGCATTATCTTATATTAGTAATAACCCCAAAAACAAACGAATGTCGTCTCCTCATACTCTTTCTCTCCTCCTTCCTTCTCTAAACATCTCCTATTCTCTCTTGTCACTGTTAATTCCAAAATTGAGTAGAGTTTTGTAACCGTTGTATATGTGTGTTTGTCCCTTTCAAACTACAAGATCGTCATCACCATATAATTATACCAAAACTATAAGCTTTTGTGATTGCAAGCACAACCTTACTCAGTTTGTTTGTTACAGATATTTGTAAATGATTTTCTCATTATTGATTAATGATTACAGTACAAGTGTATTTATAGTATACAACTATACAGCTATACAATCGGTTAAGTTAAACCAACTAAGTAAACCTACTAAACCAATATACATAATCTGATATGCCCCCTCAAGATGAGCATTCAAAAATGTTAAGAATGTTCATCTTGGATTTCAGATGCTCGAATTGATGGGGAAACAACGGTTTAGTCAAAATATCAGCTACCTGATCATCAGTTCTCACATGAAGTAGCTTAAGCTGGCCATTATCCAATCTTTCTCTCACTGTATGACAATCTATCTCAATATGTTTAGTCCTTTCATGAAAGACTGGATTTGTGGCAATGTATATGGCTGCTGTACTGTCTGAAAATAGAATAGGCACCGTTGGAGAAGTCTTCAAAGATGTAAGAAGAGTGTATAACCAAACTATCTCACACGTTGCCAAAGCTAAAGCTCTGTACTCAGCTTCTTCAGAGGACCTGGATATTGTATGTTGTTTCTTTGACCGCCAAGATATCAAAGAATCCCCCACAAACATTGAAAAACCAGTAGTAGAACGGCGACTATCAGAACAGGAAGCCCAGTCTGAGTCTGCAAACCCTTTTAATGTAAGATCAGGGGAAGCAGAGTAAAACAAACCTTGACCTACTGTTCCTTTGATATATTGCAAAACTCTGTAAGCTCCAGCAAGATGAGTAGTTCGTGGAGCAGAAGAGAATTGACACAGTTTATTTACTGCAAAAGTGATATCTGGCCTTGTTATTGTCAGATACATCAACTTGCCAACAATTCTGCGATATTGCTCTTTATCTTCTAGCAAATCACCATCATCTTTCATCATTTTCACATTAGGAATCATTGGTACTGAAACCGGCTTACAACCAAGCATACCAGTAGACTGTAACAACTCTAAAGCATACTTTCTCTGGCATAAAGAAATCCCTGCAGTCGTTCTAGCAACCTCAAGCCCCAAAAAAATACTTCAAATCACCAAGATCTCTCAATTTAAATCTCAGTGTCAAGTCATTAGTCAATTGTGTTGCAGCAGCCTCACTTGTGCTTGCAATCACAATATCATCAACATATACCAAGACAATAACAAATTCACCTTCATACTCTTTGAGAAACAAAGTATGATCTCCATGTGTTTTCTGAAAACCCAAACTTAGTAAGGAAGCAGAAAATTTCTTGAACCACTGTTTGGAAGCCTGTTTAAGACCATAAATGGATCTTTTCAGTCTACAAACAGCATTAGATGGTAGTTGAATCCCTTTTCTTGCTGCATATCCTTCAGGTAATTTCATGAATATCTCTTCTTCCAATTCTCCATTCAAAAACGCATTAGACACATCCAACTGCTTTAAAAACCATTTCTTGGAAGCTGAAACTTTCAACAACAACTTAATTGTGGTCATCTTAGCAACAGGAGAAAATGTGTCAGTATAATCCAAACCTTCTTTCTGTGTATAACCTTTAGCAACCAGTCTAGCTTTATA